TTGCATTACCCAATAGCTCAACCTTCATACATGAATTACATGATTCACGAACCATGGGCTAGCGCATTGCGATACCATATTATTATTATTATTATTATTATTGTTATTATTATTATTATTATATCATGTACTGCATTGTTAACCGCTTGGGCTATTTTTAGATGAAGTCTGATTCATCAAGGACGCACTCTAGTCAATGGACAACTCTTTCGTGAGCGATGTTTTGGGGCATAACTTCGTTATATATTATTTCATAATTTTTCTGTCATTTAATTTCGGTTTGCTTTAACTGAAATTGTAAATGCATGCCTAACCGCTACACCACATACGCCGGTGTAATTCCCCGGACTCGATTCATTGTTCAGAATTTTATAAATGATGTTTGTTTTGTTTTCTTTACTTTGGAGAACTCACACCGTTTCCTCAGTGTGAAAAAATCCAATATTATGGGGCAGCTGTTGCTACAATTATCCCAGCACTGCACCCTTGAGTACAAGGACGTGTCTGACCCAAAACCAAACCATGTATTATATAAATAATTTGGACGCCCTTGGGACGGTTACGAAATTGCTTGTTCGGGTTTTTGGACACCAGGACACTGATAATCTTATACCCAGTGCACACTGCCAATCCAATTCAATCAATTTGAGTGATCGGGACCAGCCAGGTTTTCCTCCATGAAGGGGCGAAAACTACCACTTTGGCTACATTAATACATTATTATAATACAATCGGTTCGACTTGCGACCTTGAAAAACAAAGGCGTTTTGAATTTGGATGTCACAATCAAATTTTATGGAATTCGAGCGAATTGTGCCAAAGTGGTCGGCTAGCTTTTATCCCATCCATAACAGAAAATCTGACTGACTCCGCTCAATCTAATAGATTCCACGAGCAGTGTGTGCGCACTATTGCACGCAAATTTGGGTCAAGATCTGTGGGTGGATATATAAGGTATTCCATTTTGATTTATAGCCAACAACATAACACATTACCATGAGTCCCAATTGTGAATCTAAAAAAGAAAACAATAACACAATTATGTTTAGCGACACGTACTTCAGATGAGATTTCTAAGCGCGCTTCTTTGTCCCCCAATCACAATGTTCACCTCTATTCAACCCCCCCCCCCCCTCCCCTCTCTCGCCCCACAAGATTTAATAGCAATTTTATAAGAGTAAGGGACGGTAACGTAGTGCAAGGAAGAAGCAAGACAGAAACAGAAACTACAGAGGGAAATTAAAAGAAGCAGCACCTAATACATGTGGAAAAAGTGGCGCCCTTCAGCCACTCACATCACGTCAGGGCTTCAAAGTCAGACTGTTAGGCACGATCAACGACAGCTCAAACATCTATTATAAAGAAAACAAAATTGAAGTACGAACGCTGACAAGGATTTACGAACAAAAACTAATCGCCCCTATAATAATTAACCAAATATTTTTTTTAAAAATCAGTTAAGAGCAGCAGCAACAACAATACGAATTACACTCATTTGATTGAATACATACGAAAAATGTCATGGTAAAAATATGGATTTCAGTTCACTGTACTGTAAAATAAACACATCCCACAGAATACTTATCATATTGCACTTTGATGCCATTTTGAGCAACACTTTTCAATACGCCACAGGCAATAACAAGAATGCTGATTGGATTTTTTTTTTTAAAGAGGGACTCTTCGACCAAAAGTGTCTGTGTACACACTTCTAGTACACTCGGATAATATAATATATAATATACACGCCGCTCTTCTCAAAACAATAGTTTTTAATTTGCGCGCCGCAATAATATTTATATATAGTCAATTAAGCTTATTTATTTAGTCTTTGAATTTTTCTGACATTATATATGCGACCATCATTTTTCTATAGATCTACGAATCGAATTCGGTCCGACATATTCTTTCCATATAATATACGTGTAGGCCTATAATAAATTGTCACTGTTTTATGTTATTGGGCATTTCTATAGACTTGAGGTAGATCTATATTATCCTAAACCATGCACTCTGACAAAATTCCGGTTCACTAAGGAGCTCACTGTTTGTTTCAGTTGGAAGCCGCACACTCGACAATAACGAGAGGGGTGTTTTGCCCTTTATCAGGGCGCTCATGGCGCGCACACTTCGCAACGAAGTTTTTGAACAGAGTAAAGAGACGCCTCCAGGATAGTGCACGATCTGTTATAGGATATATATTATTATTCAAGTCTATGAGTCTTTATGATGTTCACATAATAATATACTTGTGCTAGAAAGTACAGGTCTATGAATAAACATTAAATTAAATGACAATGAACCCTTACATTGCTTCTCCGAAACGGTGTATCAGATAGTATTGTACTACAGGTTCAATGTAGGGCTTTTAATTCAAATTTTCTGTGTAAAATCTAGAATTCTGCTTTCGGTAGTGTCCTTTTCATTGCTAAGATCAAGCGATTTTTAGGGAGTTGCGGGTGGGATGGGGCAGGGTAGATGTATTACCTATGTATATAAATAGACGAAAATGTACTTGGTAATGGTATGGATTTGAGACCCAAGAATAGTACATTGATGGAAAGAGATTAAAGGAATTCGTTGCTACAGTGAATCTAAAGCAGCTGGACAACAGCTGTTGAATGCTAGTGGTTAAAATTGCAATGTCATGGACAGTTGAAGTCCGAATGCAAATATCCACATCCATCCATCTGACGTCATTGCGGTAAATCGAACTAGAATGGCGGTTAATATAATATTTCAGAGAGCACTTACGTGTGAGATCTGCTCATGATCAGAGAAAACGAAAACGGTGGTTTTACGTAACTGAAATACATTGACGTGAGAGCTAAACTAGATCTATCTATTAGTAGTATTAGCAGTAGATCGCAGGCTAAACAATGATGGTGGAGATAGTGATGATGCTGATGATTCAATGCATACAGTAGTAGCAGTTATCGTTGTAGTAGTAGTAGTAGAAAGAGTAATTAAAAAAAAAGATTTTAAGTAATAGTGCTAGCACCAGTAGTGGTCCAGAGGTAGTAATCGCAGTGGTGGTAGAGAGTAGGGTTGACGACAGAGTGGGTGTTTGCATGGTAGCAATGTGATAAACAGAGAGAGAGAGAGAGAGAGAGAGAGAGAGAGAGAGAGATAAGTGCAGGGGTGGGGTGGGGGTTAGTTTTTCTTCTAGTCTGCTTGACACTCTAACATAATATTACAACTCTCGAACTGAATAAAGGAACATTGTAATACTTACAGTAAACATAAATAGTCATACAATACAGGTGATCATAAAATCGTAAATTAATGAGCAACGAGTCACAATTGACATCATCATAACGACAGCCATTGAGCAAGAATACCCTGATATTTAACTTCAGTATTTTAATAAGACTTACAGCAAATTTTTTAAAATCGAAAGCACGCAGTTTTCACAAAAACCGACTTTACCCCATTTCTCTAGTTTCTTGTCTAGTCAATATAACCCAATGTGGCACTCTGGCTGGATTTATCTTTAGTTTTGTGAATAATCAGGAGAAAGAACTCATCCCTCAAGATTGAGTACTATGAGGCCTACATGTATTACGTATTACAGCACAATCGACCCGATTTGGTAACATCGCTCCAGTTTCGTCAAAATGAGATATTGGAAGCAAAGAACAACACTAACATGTTTTAATACAAGTACACATAATAATTTTGATTAATAGACGTCAGAATACTTCGTGACGTACAGACTTTCGAATACTTCGTGACGTACAGAATTTCGAATACTTCGTGACGTATAGACTTTCGAATACTTCGTGACGTATAGACTTTCGAATACTTCGTGACGTACAGACTTTCGAATACTTCGTGACGTACAGACTTTCGAATAATTTGTGACGTTCAAACGACTTGCGAATTAACAAAAACGGTTTATCTTCTGCCAGCTGTCTCCCATTAACATAACTGGAAATTATAATATGAACTTAATCTGCCCTCGGACATGTTTCCCAGATGGGATCAATTTCTTCGCTTGATACGAGGATATTATTACGATGTTAGCCCCTTTGATAATATAGCCTCTGAGTAGCCGTCTGTGGTGTAGTGGTCAGACGCTTCACCGTCACACGCGAGGGATCTGCGTTCGATTCCCATATCATACATGGGGAGAATTCATACTATTATGGAGCATCTCGGCCTCCTTTCTGATGGGATTTTGTATCAGGGTCGAAGCTCGCCTCCTAAATGCTATTGTTTTGTCGATGGGGACGCACAAAAGCCCCCACAACACCTGCATATAAAAACAATTAAAAAAACAAATT